ACCGACTAAGTCCGCAATGGTGGGAGTTGATGTTTTGATCAAAATTATGAGAATTATTTGGGTCCCTATACGAGTAGAGTCACCAACCTTCTCTCCTCAATTTCGATCTCTTCCAACGTCTCCTTCTTCTCTAATTAGTCGGGATCGATAGATGTGGTGATGGCTAATTGTTGGTGGTGATGATTAGAGTTAAATTGACCAAAAGGTGGTTGATTGGGAGAAAGAAGTCTCAATCGGATAAATGGGTCAAATTGACGGGTTTTGGGTTTTTCTTAGGGATTGTTTGGCAATTTTTAAATAGATAGTTTTCATGGTGGTTTTTATGGAGGTTTTTAGGGTAATGGAGGGTGCCTAGATTTAAGAGGGGTGTTGTGGTTATTGGTCAAGTGGTAGGGAAGTTTGGTGATGGATAGAGAGATGAGTGAAAGGTTAAGGCCTTTTTTTTTTGGGGGGGGGGGGGCGGGGGGTGGGAAGAGGAATGGTTATGGCTATTATGGCTACCCTAAAAATAAAGGGCAAGTGTTGGTTTTATACTCCTTAATCTTTTTTTTTTTTTTTGTATTTTGTATTTTATATATTTTTTGTATTTTTCATTTTTTTTCCATTTTTTTTTTAGTAAATTCCAAAATAAAATTAAAAAAAAAGATGAGGGAAATTTTAGGATATGACACTTTGCAAGATGAGGTTGTTACTAAATATATGCTCATGTAGGATAATGTAGATGAAATTAAAGAAGAAATATTTCACCAACAAGATGTAGGTTTTGAAACTAAGACTTCCAAAGGAGATGGTGATAATAAAGAGGTTAAAGAAGGTGACCTTATTGGTGTAAAAAAGTAATGAAAGAAGCTAATTCTTTGGGTGTTGAAAACGCTCTAAATTTTAGTGAGAAGGTTAATGATATAGCTAATCATGATGATGTTGTAAACACCAAAAAATTTTCCTACAAATTCAAAGATGTTATTGCCACTAAAGAGTTAATCAAGAATGATGTTCATAACAACCATGGATTCAATTTAGAGGAGCATAGGACTTTTGAAAAATTGTTCGAAACTTTCCTAAGAAGTTGATGTTGAATCACAAGAGAGCATTATTGATGTTGATGAAGGAAAGTTAAATATGTTGGATGATGCTTCACTATATAAACATATAAACACAAAAGCAACATTGACTTATAGAGGGTTGTATAACAAAATATGTCAAGGCTATAAAATGGAGATTTGTTTAGTGGCAAGAAATTGCATTGGAACTAAACTTATGACGGTTTCAAATTTTTATTTCAAAGTTAGATGTAAGATTTTAATAGTATCAAATAAATTGCTAACAAGTTAGATACTACTAGAAAAATGTTTGAATCTAGTTTCCAATGCATTAAACGATGCATGATTTAGAGTATCTTACTAAAAGTTATGATCTTTTTTTGTGACACCGAATATTATAGGTTTATAAAAATTACGGGATTTAGGTATTCTACTAGTGCAATCGAAAATCTTAAGGGGGATGTGGTTAAAATGGAAATCTTCGAATCGTGGATGTTATAAATTGAATATGGATGGATAAGCTAAAGATAGGTTTTGCATCGAATGAGGTTTCATTCAAGATGCCATTGCAAGTTTTACAAGATACTATGGGGAAGGAACTAATACCCGGGAAGAGTCTTTTGCACTTCGAGATGGCTTAATACTCTGTAAAAATTTAAACTTGGTTTTGGCCGTATTGAGTCCGACTCTCTTATAGTGATTAACACAATGATGGGATTGAATAGGGTGTCTTGGTCATGCATTTATGTTTTTATGGAATGTCATAAACCGATGTGTAATCATAGTATTGCTCATGTTTGGAGGGAGCAAAACATGGTGGTGGATAGACTAACAAATGAGGCTCTTCAACATAGGATTGATTACAATTTTAGTCTTTTTTTAGAGTTGCCTTTGGTTGTTAAATTAGCTAGTAGACAAGATAGCATGGGCTTGTATAATTACAAGAAGTAATCTTGGTTTTCTCAAGGGTTCGGTTTCTTAGTCCCCCAATCATGTTGGGTAAAGCCGAATTATCCCCTTTGTATTTTTCATGTTTTTATTAATAAAATTACCCAAGTACCGTCCTTGTTCCTAAAAAAATGATCTTTTTAATGACAATGGTCCAAGATGATCTTTCTCGAGTGTTGGAGCTTGCTAGTCTAAACTTTGAGGCGAGTTGAGCCAAAAGTTATAGGTGAGGTAGAGTTATTGATATGGAAGAGTTGTTTATGCTAGATAAAAAAATTAAACCTAACTTTGTTGATGTAGAGGTCGAGGAGGAGGAAAAGAGTGTAGCAAGTTCACAAAACTTTTATCTTGGTAAGTCACTTCTAACTAATCATGATTATGGTTCAAGTAGGTTTACATAATATTGATCATGATAGCATTTTTTAGTACGCTTAGAATAGTAGGCTAGAGAATTTTATTAATTTGAATTCAACTCCTAGATATGATGTGCATGATGATGAGGAAGATATTCCTTATGTTATTGATATTGGATTAGACGAAAAAATATCTATTACACATCATGATATGGAAAAGCATGGAGAGATGTTTGAGGTTGGAAAGAAGTATGCTATGGATAAGCATGATGATATGCCTAAATATTATAATTTGAATACCTTGGATGGTACGGTTTATATTGTTAGTATTATTGCTGATTGTGTTGACCAAGTTGTTGTCATTGGTAATGTTAATAATGCTATTGTGATTCATGGGGTTAAGATAGACTTTATTGAGGGTAATAATGGTTACTTAAAGGTTGTCCGAGATGGAAGAACAATTGATTAGTTTGTTTCTATCAAGAACCAAGTAGACTTGTGGATTGATGTTGATAAACTCGAGGAGCAAGGAGACATTGTTGCTATCATGACTATTCAGAGTTGTTTTGGGGTTGTTACCATAGGAAGATTAGAAGGAGTTGCTGCTATAAAAAATAGGAAGAAAGCTAAAGAATCAAGTCAAGGTTGTTGACTTTTCCGAATTGAAGAATGATGCAAACAATGATGCTTGAAGATGTAAACAAATCAAACCTATGGATTAAAGTCTTTAAATTTCAAACCAAGTCAACCTATAATGAGAGAGACTTAATATGGGTGATTATCAAGAAAAAGAGAGTATCAAATGGTAGGTTTGTTAAACTTAAAGACATAAAAGGTTCATTTCAAATTGCAAGGAGGATGGTCGAGCACATAAACAATGATGCATGAAGATGTAAGCAAAGTAAAGCTATAGATTGAAGTCTCTAAATTTCAAACCAAGTCAAACTATAATCGGAGAGATTTAATATGGGTCATTATCAAGAAAAAGAAAGTATCAAATTGTAGGTTTGATAAACTTAAAGGCATAGAAGGTTTATTTTGAATTGTAAGAAGGATGGATGAGCACACAAATAAGATAGGCCTACCCGAAGATTATCTAGTCTCAACTACTTCTAAGAAGAAAGACCTTTCACCATACTTGGAGAGGAAGATAAGGACCATGACGTCAAGGTCAAATCTTCTTTAACTCTGGAGAGTATGATGTAGGAGCGTCTCCTTCTTATAGGTCGAAACTTTTCACCTCCTAAGTGGTTGAAAGTTTCAGCCCTCTTTCCTATCTATTTTATTGTTATTCATTTATTTGGGTTATTTTTAATTGTATGGACTTGGGCGAATTAATTAATTCTCTTAGGATTTTAGGTTTCCTACTTAAACTAGAAAATGGCTGAATATGGCCGAAATGAATGATTAATCCTTATGTGTTGTGAATCCTTATTTATTTATGAGTCCATGTAATATATAAATTTATATTTAATTGGACTGAATTAATTAAGTCCTAACCGACTATAGGGGCATAAGTCGAAGTCTAGTAAAAAAAAAAAGAATTCTATTAAGAAAAAGAGTTATATTTAGGAAAAGAGTCATAATCGACCAAGGAAGAGAAAGCTCAACCATAACCGATTCTTAGGGTCTTCATATGAGTATTTAAGCATACTTTATGCTTATTTTTTAGTAGACTTTGATAAAAAAAAAAATGACTGAAAAATTAGAGAGTTTTCTCAACAACCTCTTTGCGTGTCTCGTTTTACTTAGATTGGCTAGGACATCGTGAAACACATCCTTAGATTGGTCAACTAAGGTAGGCTCGGATTAATAATTGTGTCGAGTGGACTCTTGGCAAAGTATTCCATAAGTACTATCTAAATCATGTTGAGTAGAGGATTTTTTTCAAGGGTGAGACATAGGGGCTTGCTTTTATGTTATATGCTTCGGGTTTACCCCACATTTAGTCCCTGTACGAGTTTTAATTTTTTTGATTGAAATCCTCTATACTTTTTCAATTTGATTGAAACCCTCTAATTTTTGAAATTTAATCATTCGGACCCTCTCGTTATAACGTTGTCGATTATTCATCCGACGTGGCCTATTACCATTAATGATAATCAATTATTAAATGACACGTGGTAAAATAGATCACAAAATATAATATTTCTCTCCGAATTAAAAAAAATAAATTATGAACTGATTTTAATAATAAATTAATACAAGAAAAAAAAAGAATGTGAAAAGACCTAAACCCTCTTCATCATCATTATCATCATCAATAGCAACAGAACCCATAATCCAATAAATTGGATCCGGGAACCAATAAATTACCAATCGGGAAGGCGAGTTGGTGTTACCAACACAAGAAACCAAAGCAACGACCTAGAGATACCCATTTTCCGCAAAAAACATCACCACTATGAAGTGAAACAAAAGACCCGCATCGGGATCTAGGAACTCCTTCTTCATGTAAATAAATCCTTTTAAATCCCATTTTCTTTTTTACATCCTTACCTTCTTTCTCGGACTATTTCCATGCTAACTGCCAACTCTCAACAATTTCGGTAGCACCAATCGCCTTTCCGGCTCCTTGCATGAGACTCGCTATGATGTCTCATGCTCGAATATTGCCATGGGAAGCTAGGTGGGCAATATCCTTTTCCATGCTTGTTGTCTAGCGTGAGATTAGTGGATCGTGCAAATTATCATCGGAGTCTCCACCACCAACCTCCGATGTGCGGTCCTCACCTTCTTTTTGTACACTCTCTTCATCCAACTACTTAATCTTAAAGTGAGGTTCGTTGTACTAAATATGCTACCAAAATTGGGAAAAAGCATGCTTCATGTCTGCGGGAGCTTTTCATGAACACTACCAAAAGGAGTCATACGATGGTCCATAAGAGGTATGCCCGAGTTCACCATGCTTTTATGGCGCGATACAAAAGTAAGAGAACTCTTTCCAATTACGGGTTTAGCAACCCGGGAAAGGCCTTCCTCGGGCCCATATAATTTGATTTGGTCTTTATCAACGAGTTGGTTCTTGATCCTATTAAGATCCCCAATTTCTAATTGGGATCTTTGGGAAATTGGGATTTAAGATTTGGGAAATTTAGAGTTTATTTATAGAGAGAGAGAGCTAACGGGTTTGAGAGTGCAAAGAAATAATTATGAAGAAGAAGAAGAAGAGAGGAAGCTTAGGGTTTCAATCATAGAAAAAGAAGAAGAAGAATGAAGCGAGGGATCGAAAAATTTAGAAAGCTTAGGATTTCAATTAGAGGAGAAGAAGAAAAAGAAGTGAGGAAGCTTAGGGTTTCAATCAAAGAAAAAGAAGAAAAAACGAAGTTGGGGATTGGAAGTTTTAGGATTTGAAGAAGAAGAAGCTTAGGGAATACAACGATTTGGTCTCTATTTAGAAAGAGACAGGTAAAGAGAGAACGATGGATTTTAAAATAACAAGATGAGGGCAAATTTATCTTTTTAATTATTTTCTTAATTCTAAATATTAGTTTATTATTAAAAAGATTTAAAAAAAAAATTTAGATAGTGAAATTGTTATTTGAAACCCATAACACCACGTGTCAATTAGTAATTTGTGACTATTAATTATAATATGTAACGTTAGATGAACGAGTTGATGGAGTTATAACGGAGGGTCTAAATTAATATATTTCAAAAAGTAGAAGGTTTCAATCAAATTGAAAAAACATAGAGGGTCTCAATCAAAAAAATTAAAGCTGTAGAGGGACCAAATGTCGAGTAAACCTTATATGCTTGATTAATTGCGGGTTAACTTGGATTTCAAAACTAAATAGTTTCGGTCTCAAAGCTAATAATCAAGGCTAGGATTTTTTTATCTAAAATTTTGATAGTCACTATTTAAGGGGTTTATTTTTCTCCTATAAAAAAAAGTCATAAAATTAAAAAAATATTTAAGTGAGTTTTGGGGGTATCGAAATCGTTGTAAATTCTAAAACCTATTTTGTCTAGAATTTCGACTTAGTGAAAGAAGGGGTTATATGGCTTAGATTGACCTAAATTTTGGTACTCATAACTCTGGATATTATCTACATTGTGTTAAAATTTCAGCTAATTTTAAATTGATTTTATAAGGAAACACGTCTCTTTAGTTTCCGCTTTGTGAGTTTATTGTTTGGAGATTATGGGTTGTGATTGTGTTTGTATTTGTGTTTGAGGATTTAGTTGATTGAGTATTGCTTTTGATTGTGTATTGATTAAGGATTGTTTAGAGTAAATTTAAGGCTGGTTTATAATTGGAGTATTTCAAATTAGAATTATTTACTTGATGCTTGTGTATTTAAGATTTCGTAGAGTTTGACATTTCTCACTCCGACATTAGTACATATCTTTTTTCTGAGCTACAAGTCCCTGACATTGTACAGATAAATTAATCCATATCTCAAAGTAAGGCTAACAACTCTAGCCGAGTTCTTACAAAATTCTGCAGTCTGTTGGTGACTCAGCTATAGCTAGGGATGTGGAAAATCTGGTTAATGTCGCCTTCGTTTTCCCATCAATAGTGCCATGGCAATGTCAAATTGTCGTCACAGACTTTTGAAATAAGTCTGCATATTTTGGACTTTACTGACTACAAATATGCAATGGAGAAATTTGAATTAGAAAATGGTTTGTTCCATATTATTCTGCACCGCTCCTAACTTCAGAAAATGGCTGTAATGCAATTGATTCTAGCTGGTGTCATGATTGTCATGTATAGCCATCGGCTAGCTGGTGTCCTGATTTTCGGGTATAGCCGTCACTTACATGTATAGGTTTTTCTGATTATAAATAATTTTTTAAAAAAAACATTCCTAATTAAAAAAAAAATTCTTTAGAAAATTTAAAAATAAAATATGCAAGTCATGACATTTTAATTTATTTTTTTATTTTAGTCATTAGTATTTTGATAAAAAAAATTATGATAAAAAATTAATCAAAATAACAAATTAAAAACTTAAATATTATTAAAAAATATAATAAATATATTAGAAATATAAAGAGAAATTGAAGAATCACTTCAAATCAAGCTATTACGTAATTATTTAAGGAGATAATAGATATTAGAAATATAAAATTACATTGAAGACTCGAATTATTACATAACATATGGAATTATTTAAAATAATTAATAATTGTTGGGTGCAGATTGTGAGAGGTAAATATCTCAAATTAAAAAACAAACAATGGAGAGAAAATAAATATGTTTATGTACCGATTAGTCTAGACTTTTTGATATTTATATTAGTTTTGTGTGTAACTTCTTTACACGTGGAGGTTCAAATGCAAGTCTAAGTGATTTCCAGATGTAAATCATTTCAGTAAGTTGACTACATGAACAAAACTTCAAATGAAAGCTTTGACATGGTTTTATTAAAAAATCTAATTTTATATCATATCAGGCTTGAATTTTAGAGAAAAGATCATAAAAAAAGATATTAATTCATAAATTCATCAAAATAGACATGAAGAATGTTTTGTCTATCACTAAATAGAGGAGGCGGCAAAGGGATAGTCTTGAGAATTCCACCCATACATGTCATATTAACAAGAAAAGCAATAAGAGAGGGTAAAATACTAAAATGTTGAGGTATTGACAATTACCTTAACATTAATCTATATAAAAATAGATTTATAACCCATTAACTGAGCATTCTACAAAGACCAATACTACTGATCAAAGAATATACAAGAGTTTAACTATTCAGAGTAGCTTCACATGTTGGTCGTTTTAGGTTTCAATATGTTGGTCTTTAAATTCAACAAAAAGATATCATCGACAAGTAAATCTCCGATACTATTTCCAAAAGCTATTCTCACATTCAGGCTTTGTTTTTCTACAGGAAAGTGCATTTTGAAGATTTGCAGGGCAATTAAAGTAGCATTATCTACTTAAAAGAGTAATTCCAAGAGATTAGCTTGATGGCTAAACAAAATTGTTTTTTTCTTTTTTTTTTAGCTCAGATTTTGTGACAAGCATCAAATCCTTTTAGACATATTGGGCTGATATGAAAGGTACGTTTTTTAAATCTTTTTTAGAAAAAACTTACTCTCAACTAACGTAAAAGATAGTTCTAAAATACCATTATTGTGGAATTAAAAAAAAAAACTTAAAGAGTATATATATATAAGTGCGTTAAATCTCTATCTCTCTCTCTTTTTTATGAACTTTAGAGATTATCTTTTTTTCCTCGAGTTTTTTTTTTTTTTTTTGGTATTTTCTTGATTTCAGGGCTGATGATTATGTAAGCGTGTGATTAACTAATTTATAGGTGATTTGTATGGAAATGAATATATCTTCCTATGTAAGATATATGTATTATAGGAAATATGATTGATATGCCTTGATGCAATCCTTTAATATAGGATCTCTGTAACAGCCTTGTCTATAAGACTATATAAGGGCTTCCTCCTAAATGAGAATAAGATATACACAAAATAAACCTTAGAGTTCAACATGATATCAAAACACATCCCAACCTTTGTTCATAAACTCTAACCCGCCGCTTTAGGCTAACCAAATTCTTCATTCAAAATTGGTCTTGAAACAAGGGACCAACCGTGAATGACAAAAATACAGATATTATCACTATGAACTAAACTCTAACCTCAATTGAATCACCTAACCTTAACAGCTTACGATTTGGATTTAGATTGAATGACACAAACTTTAAGATCTGGTCACGAATGATTGAAGTCCATGCTGCGGGACTAAACAAACTTGGCTATTTGAATGGACAGACCCCAAAAGTAGATGAGAAAAATTCTAGTTACTCAAAGTGGTGCACTAAGGACGCAATTGTGTGAGGATGGTTGTTAAAAACCATGGAACCACATCTCCTTGGCTTGTTTATTGATATCTCAACAGCCAAGGAAATTTGGGATAGCGTCATCCAAATTTTCTATGATGGTGTTAATGAATCCCAATATTATGAACTACGCTGCAAGGCCACGAGGACAAAGCAGAATGGGCGTCTAATCAATATTTACCATTCAAGTTGCAAATGGATATTCACTCTTAAGCGTAAAGTAGATGGGACAATTGATCGATACAAGGTGAGGCTAGTAGCAAAGGGTATACACAGCCATTCAGGATTGACTATCAGGAAACTTTTGCTCAAGTTGCAAAAATGAACACCATCAAAGTCTTGTTATCCTTGGTAGCAAATTTTAATTGGCCTTTGAGACAATTTGATGTAAAGAACGCATTCCTCCATGGAGATTTGGAAGAGGAAGTGTATATGCATCTCCCACCTGCGTTTGATACTCCACAGTCTAGTGGAAAAGTGTGTAGATTGCGAAAAGCATTGTATGGTTTGAAACAATCGCTAAGGGCATTGTTTGGGAGGTTCACAGATGCTATGAAAAGAATTGGCTATCATCAAGGCGATTCAGATCATACTTTATTCATCAAACGCAAGAATGGTAAAGTTACATTACTTATTATCTATGTAGATGATATGTTGTAACTGGTGATGACACATATGAAATGAAAAAGGCTTCAAGAATTCTTTTCTTCTGAATTTGAAATGAAAGATTTAGGAGGACTGAAATATTTTTTAGGGATTGAAGTTGCAAGGTCCAAGGATTGTATATATCTATCACAACGAAAGTATATATTGTATCTCTTATCTGAAACTGGTATGCTAGAATGTAAACTAGTAGAGACTCCTATTGTTCAGAATCACCGTCTAGCCATTTACCCAGATCAAGTACCAACAAACAAGGAAAGGTACCAACGATTGGTAGGGAAATTAATTTATTTATCACACACACGTCCATACATTGCTTATGCTGTTAGTGTGGTAAGTCAGTTTATGCATACTCTAAGTGAAGATCATATAGCTGCTGTAATGAGAATTTTGAATTACCTAAAAGGGGCTCTAGGAAAAGGTCTGACCTTCAAG